ACACAGACCTTAATCCTCCTGTACACCCATTGAATTGACATCACCCGGCCATTCTTGCGGGGCTCGCATAGCATCCTCTCAGCTATCCTTTCCCCTTAGTCTTCCAGAGAACGAACGCAACAGCTTTCTCCTTCGTCTTTCAGAGCACGAACCCAAATTTTGGGCTGCAGCCCAGGGCTGTCGCTGCTGCACGGCTTAAAAAAAAAACAGCGCCGCTCGCTTCTCCATCGCAGGCCGCCCGCCACGGCCTTCTCTAGCGTGGCGGCTCGGCACCCTGTGTTGCTCCGCGCGCCCGCATCGCGCCACCATCCAGCGCCGCACCCCCATCCACCTTGCGCGCGCGGAAGGGGAGGCATGCGCCTGCGCTCCCATCCATCTCGCGTTGTCGGCGGAAGGGGAGGCCTACGCCATAGCAGTTCCTCCTCACAAGTAGGCCGTGGCCGCCAGCGACGTTGTGTTTCAGACGCTTTTCATACATGTTGCATGCCTATATTTAAAGTATTTCATACGAATGTTGCGTAAAGTGGATCGGAGTATTGCATATGTTATAATAGTTGTACACATATGTTGCAAGCGTCTGTTTCCAATGTTTCATCTGTTTTTCAGACGTACATCACAAGTGTGTTTATTTAGATGTTGTATATGTTTCATACATATGTTTTAAGTGTTTTATCTCGATGTTGCGTATGTTTGCAATGGTTTCAAGTGTTTTTCGGGTGTTTTTGCAAATGTTTCAGACGCATATTTCAAGTGTTTCATCTGTCTTCTTTTGTATGTTGAAAGTATTGCATCTTGATGTTTCAAAAATAGATCGCGCGTGTCTAGCGACGTGGTGGAAATGGAGGGGTGTGGGCCTCACGTTGCTGATCTAGCGGCGTGCTCGCGTGTGAAGTTCAACGCTGCTAGGTGCTCACTCACTTGCTGCACTAGCATCGTCCGCCGCTAACGCCCCAGATGGAATATTGGGACGCTAGCAAGTCCTTATTTTCTACTCATTGCTCCGCGACGTCGGCGTCATCTGACGGATCACTGGAAGAAACATTAATGCATGTTTATACTTCTGTCGGTGGCATTGGAATTCGCTATCACAATTTATCACCAAAACCAAATGAACAATGTGTTTCTCTCAAACAAACGATTCAAAGCTGTCATTCATGTTTGTCCCGTGAACTTCATTAATGCATGTATACTTCTGTCTTTGGACTTATACTTTCTAGTTTTAGCTTTTGCTCGTTATTGCTCGATCGTTTTCTAGCAGGAACAGTGTTTTTCTCTCATACCAAACTAGCTAACAGTAAATAATCCACGATACGATACGGCCTCCCGAACAGGCTGCTTGATGTTGTGTTTCAATGCGATTCAAAGGTGCATATGTTTGTCATAGTGGTCAGAATATGCTGTGTGGAATAGGATTATTTTTAGAATAATATTATTTTATGTTTCTCTACACCGCGGAATAATAAAAGATCGTTACTGAAAGAATATGCTGTGTTGGATACGTGCAGTATTCTGAACCTACTTTCTTGCCTGTGTATGTATATTAAGAAAGAATAGAAAGGGGTGAGAACAACATATCCAAAAGATGCATGGGAATAATCCGCCGGATTTAGTCCTACAGGCAAAAATAATACTAAACTATCTCAAAATGAAAAACCCAACGCTACGATCCTAAAAGCTTAAGCTTGTTCGATTGGTCGTATTTGGCTTATAAGCCATATCTTATCAGCCAACGAATAATATTTTTTACTCACATCAAACCAGTCAATGGTACTTTCAGTCATGGGCCTTGTTCGGCTGGCCGATGGCCGGCCGGCCAGCCCACCCACCCACGAAATCACTGTTCATGTGAACAGTGTTTCTAGACAGAATAATATTTTCTTCTCACAACAATCAATCAGTCGGAACAGTATTTTAGCTTATTTTTCAGTCCTGTCGAACAGATCCATGGCTTATAAGTCAAACAAATCCAAACACAACAGGGCGCTAGCTAGTCCGCACATCACACAGCAAAGCAAATTCAACCCAACAAGCTAATCAGTCAGTTCAGATCTCAAAAGCAAAAAGAAAAATCTCAATCATACAAAGAAGGCCACTGGAACTCTGGAAAAAAAGGGGGGAAAATTGTCACTACATACTAGCACACACCATGAACAGTAGTAACAGGGAGGGAAAACATTGCTGGGAGTCGTCCCTGTCACCTGCAACCTGCTGGCGCACAAGCGCGAAGCCGCGGACGCAGGTTGCAGCGCCGCAAGCATACTCCTTGTAGTAGTGCTGCCAGTGCCATGTGCTTGGCCATCAAAACAGACGACCGTCGGCGCGGCGCCGTCTCATTTCGCACAAAACCATCTGATTTCTTACTTCGATAGCACTACCGTCCCAAGTCTGGATGGACACCCGCGTTGGGACGCCAGCGCCTGCTGCACGCATAGCAGGGCCCGCCACGCCACTCCCTCACACCTCCATGCTTCTATCGCGTCTCCACGCCTGCTGCGCCGCTCCCCTCCATGCACGGCGCCCAGCAGCTACAACAGGTGGCTTATATTGCAACATACACAACACTCTCGGTCTACTTTTGAAACATCCAAATTTACAACATACGTACGAAACAGCGAAAACATTCGAAACATGCGTCAGAAACATATGCAAAAACACATGAAAAACAATTGCAAACATATACAACTACAGATAAAAATACTTGCAACGTATGTTTAAACATATGCAACATCTAGATAATTGTAACATACTTCTGAAAAAAAAACAGATGAAACATTGGGAATAGACACTTGCAACGTTAGTATACAATCATTGCAACATATGCAACATCTCGATCTACTTTTACAACCTCCGCATGAAACACTTGAAACATACCTACAAAACATCTGGAACATTTAAAATATGCGTTTGCAACATGAGGAGCCCGGGGCTAGGCGATTCTAGCCGTCGGGGTCAGAGCCGGCGCCGTGTCAGCACCACCATCGCTAGCAGCACCAGGCTTGGCTCGGTCAGGTGGACGGCGCGCGCGACGGGCGGGAACGACCGGCGCGAGATGGGCGAGTGCGACGAGCGGGAGCGACTGGCGTGGGATGGGCGCGCGATGTCTGGACATGAAGGCCATGGCTGGAGAAGGCCATGGCTGGAGAAGGCCAGCGGCAGGCGAGCAGGCGATGGATACGCCCGCGACGGTCGCATGCATACGGCAGTGGGGAAAGAAAATGTCGTTGTGTTTTTTATTTTTTAGGGAAACCGCGTCATTCTGAAGGTGAAGCGAAGGAGGCTTGTTGGGCCCGATCGTTGGTGCGGCCCGAGAACGAGCCGTCCGAGACAGAACACGCGTGGACGGATGCCTGTGTGCTAGCATTATCGTTCTTATTTTACAAGTAGATAAATAAAACCATGTAAACAAGAGAGATTTTTCCTGATGTTTGATTCCGAGTCATGGAACCTTTCTTTTGCATTTTCCCCACCTTTCCTTTTATTGCAACACAAAGCCTATATTAGTTATTAAATTAAAACTTTGTGGAAAGATAAAGATTCAGACTGAATCAATTTACAATTGAACTTTAGGACTTAATGAAGCTTAAAACTTGCATATATTTCGGTTTCTGAACCCTGCAACTCATTATGCCCCCTTTTCTGATGCCTTCAAGATGTCGATACGTTTCAGTTCTAACAGCTCTGGACACCCTGAAACGATAACCTGACAGATTTCAACCACCCTAGACCTCCAACATGCACAAAGAATTTCTAAGGCAAAAATGCCTGCCAATGATAAATGTCAGATGGCGGATCACGTGATCATGGGGTGCCCGTTCGCGTTCGCGAAGGAATTCCGGGCAAAAATTGGTTTCCATCTACCTCTGGTCAGCACTGGCGCGCCGGGTGAGGTACACAACATCCAGCGCCCAGCTATCGTCCCCCAGAAGCACTTCAGTACCTTCGTTGCTCTCTGTTGTTGGCAACTATGGAAGTGCAGGAATGGGGCTTCGTTGCTCTCTGTTGTTGGCAACTATGGAAGCGCAGGAATGGGGTAGTTTTCTGGTCAGAAAGAGCAAACCACCGTCAGATGCTAGCAGCGTGCATAACCGATGCAAAGCTATGGAAGGGTCTGGGTTGATGTTTTTAGAAACCCTATGTAATCTACATTGGATCGAAAGAGATCAAATGATGTAATGTCATGAACTACGTTTGCCTGCGGGCACTGATTAATCAATATACATAACATACAGGTGGGGATCCTCCCCCCTCCCCCCCTGAACTTAAAAAAAAAAACTATAGTGCAGAATAATCGTGTTCACCCTGAGAATATTGCTAACCGGCTAACATAGTCTTTCACAAGACATTGTTTTAGAATATAAGGTTACTTCTCCAATTCCCAGTCTTCCCGAACAGCCGGACACTCTGATTGATACCAGGCAGACATTCTAGGCAAAGGCCTTTCAGACGAAGACATCCTTCAGATTTGAAAACTTAATATGCCAAGCCAATATACCCATTGACTACCTGCAAATTGTAATTAGTTTCCCAGCCTAAGCACAAAAAAAACATTATCAAATTATCCAATCAGGATAGTTTATGGTTTTTGGTCTTGGGACAGTTAGGTGTTCATTCTTAAGAGTGACGGGAACAATTTATGTATTCATCATCTCAAGCAAGAACCCAAGGAAAACAAAACTTGAATACACCAGAAAAAAAAAGTGTTTCGTAATATTTTACACGGTCATCCGTGAAAAAAATATTTCACACTGCACTTTCTCAATTAACATTGTTGGTTTTTCTTGCCAAAAGAATGAACCTGGCAATGACCTAACGTACAGAAATGTGCATCCCTATTGTTCAAGGACTAATCTTCTTCTTTTATTCTCCCTGAACAACAAAATAGTGAATAAATTCTCCACTACTTACTGTTTAAACTCTGAAAATAAAATAAGTACGAATCAAGAGCCCAATACATACCTGGAAGGCGACAATTTCCAAATTAAGGAAACTAAAAAAATTCTCTAATGGCGCTTTATTTCATCCAGAACGTTGCCCACACTGGGTGATAATCTTGGAAGATATTTGTATACCTACAACATAGAAAAATAAACTAAGTATCTTGATCTTATTCAGATTACAATGTGAATTTCTAAACTCATATAAACTAATAATACCAGGAACACCGAACAATGTTTTACACCCATAAAAGCTGTAGCTAATAAAATCAAGCAGTCAATAGAAAATTGGATTTTGTTTCCAACAAAAAAGAAAGTTGCAACTTGCTCCTCTAAAAAAGGTGACTAGAATGGTAGTACTGGAGTTGCTAAGAAGCGTATTGAGAACATATAAAATGGTGAGATAGGACCATAGGACAGAAAATTTCTTACAAAATTAAGAGGTTCCTTAAAAAAGCTATGCTACTTTAACATTTAAAAACTATTTTTTATCCCTGTTAATTAGACGAAAAAGGCATACCCAAAACTTTATGTACACATCCAAAGCAACTGGAAACAGACAAACAAAAAATGTGACCGCCGCTTCATCAGCTTCAAGCCCGTAATGCTCGAGAATAACTTCTACCAATGTATGCCAACCTGACTCTGAATGGTAGCTGCAAAAATGCAGGTAGTGGATTTTATAAAGTGGATAAAATCATTGTCTATAAACAATAGTTAACAACAAAAGATGCACAAATAAAACGTTGTCTTAAATGAAAAGGAAATCAAACAGAAAACATCAGGGCTATTTCTTAGTTGCTTGAAGGAGCAATGTGTATCCCAAAAGAAGAACACAAGACTGAGAGACATTTAAATTGTGTTATATGGATGTTGAGCTTTTGTACAGAGCAACTTAACTGAGCTCCCCCCCAAAAAAAAAAAAAAAATAGCGAATAGCTTATGATGAAAGGGGAAAAAATCTAGCACTAGAATCAGTATGAAACAAGACATCTCAAGCGCAAGTATACCACATTAACACTATACCTAATTTGGCCTAGTAGTCATAACCTAAATACTTCCCTGTTTTTGAACTACTTGCATATGTAACATGTCACATTATATGCAAGGAATGTGTATATACTGTGCTGGTCAGGGGCAGAGCATAGTTGAGACTTGAGACTAAGGTGGGCCATGGCCCCCCTTGTCCAACGTAGTCTCCATTGACTAAACACTAAATTTTGGTACTGTTTATTTGTGTTTAGAGCTCAATTACATAGACTAGCCCCTCCCGTTTGTTTGGTCAAGCTCCAACTCTAGTGCCAGGAGTACCGATGATAAAATGTCATGAATAACACTTTACAACAGTATGCTGGATAAATGAATGCAGGCCTCAAAACCATATAGGCATACATAGATCTTCTACTTGAGAGAATGACAATTCATATAACATTAATTACCCTAGAAGGATGTCTGATACTATAATAATAAGAAAGGCCTTCCCACTGTCTGAAATTTTATTTAGCAACTTATATCCTGTGAACTTCAGCATCGCAACCTGAATGTGAGGAGGGAGTAAAAGTAAGATGTATGATAACAACATAACTCTACATATTCATTTGGAGAAACTAAAGGCCATGATTATCAATCAGACAAATTTACACTGCCAAGACGTTTTTATTACAGAAAGATGTCTGCCAGTTACGCTAACTGGATGACACAGCTTTGGTCCAAAGTAGGTGCTATCCTACAAGCCTTCGTCAACTTTTCAAAATTTTAACCACCAATATAGAGTTAGATTTGTCACATGGGAATGATATGACATTAGCGCTACCTTAGAATTGTAGGGTACACCAAGCACAGAAGAAAAATGAAGTGAAATTGTACTATTGTAGTCAGTACATTTTTTGCAGATATTTGAAGGTAAAAGTGTAAAGTAACTAGCACGGATCCTTTGACATTAGTAGGGTCTAATAGCACAGGAATCTGTCTAATCATTTAAACTCTATTTTGAATAAGGAGAAAACCATGTGTCCACATGCATAGCAAGAGTGCTACATAGATTATGATATGTAACTGAAAATGAAATGAAACCGTCTTCTGATAGATACTTACTTTGCTCTGGTTGAAGCACATAAGAAGGAATAGAACAATCCCATAAACCATATCGGACCATATATTTGCTAAAGCTGCTCGATTTTCTAGCCTCCAATCATCCCTCAACTCTATCCTGATAAAGAAGAGAAGAAAATCCTTAAGAACAAACAGACTGGACTTACTGGACAACACATAATCATAATGTTCATACTGGCAGAGAACAAATAGGATTCTGATGGATGGTGCATTTATAAAAGTAATGACTTGGCAAGAAAGCATGGTATTCAGCATTTTCTCACGCTTTTTCCCGCAGCTCATACCAGACCTCCTCATCAGAAAGCGGAGGAGATTTGCCAATCTCTACTTCAAGACGGTATCTTGCCTTTTCAATGTTTAGGTCTTTAACCATCTGCAGCTTCTGGCTGCGCCTTACATCAAGTAACTCAGCTGCAAGTGGCACCTTCTGGACATACCTGTTATTAGGCAATGTTCCATGTAATACATTCTGCATTTAGCATACATGGTTGCACGTAACGACAGAAGCAAAAAGAGACACTGTTATGACTTATCAGAGCTCAGTACTTCACTGACAAGAAGGGATGATACAGAATGGGCGAGATGAATTACCTCTCTAAGAAGGGCATCAAAACATAGTCATGGACTAGAAAATCTATCACCCATGGAACCACAATCAACAATGCTAGAAATTTGGCCTGTACAGTACAAAGTCTTTTTGTCAGCTCAAACAAAACTTGATGTAAGGCGCAGGCACGCAGCCAAGCTCATAACATAGTCTTTTTTTGTCAGAGCAGTAGTAACTAGTGGCATGTCATGGTTATATATTTTTTTTTCTCAAATACGCAAAAGATTTGTGCATCATTGTAATTAAAGTAGAAGAGTTTAACCATACAAGCAACGCGCTTCTGGCGAGCGCCCTAGGAGATCATGATTATATTATCAGTGGGCAGTAGTACATTATGCTACTTGGTAACACAAACAAGGAGGGCGTATCCAGTGCAGAGAGCTCCCGCTCTGTGCGGGGTCTGGGAAGGGTGTTAGTGGCAAGCCTTACCCTCGCCTGTGCAATGCGAGGAGACCGCGACTCGAACCCGGGACCTTCCGGTCACATGCGGTAAGACTCAAACAAGGTAGTAGTAAAAAAGAACGCACCGAGTTTGTCGAGGCATACATAAAAACTCGATCTTCGAACAACATGTCCTCGTAATCCTCATTGACGGTATCTCTCAAAACCTCAATAACACCCTTATCCCACACAATCTCTGCAGGATCATCAGTTATCTGGTCAACCAAGCTGGCCTCCCCACCTCCTCCACTCCCCGAAACGCCGCCACCGCCACCACTGATCCAATCCTGCCACGACCGCGCCTCGGCGTTCATCGCATCCTGCTGGGCCTCGCGCAGCTCAACAATCGCCTCAGCCTTCCTCCTCCACGTCTCGAACTTTTCATTCTCCGACAGCTCCTGGTCGGCCCCAATCTCCTCCAGCAGCTCGTCGTCCTCCCTGAACCCGGCCAGGCTCTCCTCGTCGTCGTTCCAGTCCGCAAAGAAGGTCTTCCACCACGGCCGCTGCCACTTGCTGAGCCGCCGCCGCCGCCTCCTATTAGCGAAGACCGCCGCGTGCCTGCGCGGCCTCGCCCTCCTACTCCTGTGGGAACCGAGAGCGAGCACCCCGCGCGCGCAGACACCGCCGATGGGGAAGCGCAGCGCAATGCCGTTGGAAGCTAGATACCATCGCAACATACTCGCCGCCGTAGCAATCTGCACATCGGAAGCAGGGAGGAGCGGGGACCCTATATAGATCATTTTTGCAAACAAATTAAAAGCGCGCAGTCAGTCAGTTGGTACGGAGCATCATCACGCATGTACGCGCACACACTTGTAGGTTGCAATTGGGCGAGAGCCGACTGGAGATGGCTTGGATTATTAGGGTTGTACGATGCCGGGCGCTCGGTTTCGCGCAGCAGGACGGGAAGCGAAGCGAGGCAGGCATACCTGGCTGTTGGGTGCGAAGACCTGGAGAAAGGCCGGCGGCGGCACTTGCCGCCAGTCGTCGGTGTACGTCCTGGCGGCGACGAGGACTCGCCGGTGAGTCGGGATGATTCTGATTCCGGGTGGGAGGGGAGGGAGAATCAGAGAGAGGAAGAGGAGAATTCAGGCAGGCAACTTGAGCCTTCGAGCTAGCTGCTACGGCTAGAGTGGAGATCAGCTGATGAGGAGAGGAAGAAGAGAAGAGAGGTCGGTCGGCGTCATATCCACCCACGACGCCGCGGCACACCAACAGCAGCCCAGCCACCCTCACGGACCTCACCTCGTGGACAAACTCTAACGGCTTCTTCTGTTATGGGGCTGCAGTGGGCTTTTTCCGGGATTCAGCCCGACTAAAAGGCCCACTGTTGTAAAAAAAAGTCCCAGGTAGATGCGGACATGGCGGGGCTGATCCTGATCCGACGGCTGCGCGCCAGATTCTCTCACCACCACACACTGGCTCGTCCTCCCTTCTTCCTCTCCCCGCTCGCAAAATTCGCAATCGCAATCGCAATCGGTCTCCCCTCACCTTGCGAGAAACCGAGGAGGAGGAAGACAGGTATGTTTCGTTGTAAACTGCTGCTCCCTCTTCCCATGTTTGCTGTCTCTGTCACCGCATTCCTCCTGTTCTTCGATCTGGACTGGACGCCCAGCAGCGGCCTTCTTGTATTTGGAACAAATGCTCGATTTTACTCACACAAATCATAACTAGAGACTTTGAAATATGAGTTCAAGGCCTGCTGTAGACAAGAGAGATTTTTTGCCTGATGTTTGATTCCGAGTCATGGAACCTTTCTTTTGCGTTTTCCCCCCATTCCTTTTATTGCAACACAAAGCCTACCTTGGTTAAATTAAATTAAAACTTTGTTGAAAGATAAAAGATTCGAACCGAAACAATTTACAATTGAACTTTAGGACTTAAATGAAGCTTAAAACTTGCGTATATTTCGGTTCCTGAACCCTGCAACTCATTACGCCTCCTTTTCTGATACCTTCAAGATGTCGATACATTTCAGTTCTAAAATATGAAGTTTGCAGCTCTGGACATCCTGAAACAGTAACCTGACAGATTTCAACCTCTCTACACCTCCAACATGCAAAATAATTTCTAAGGCAAAAATGCTTGTCAATGATATATGACAGACCAAAAGCCTCAAGTTTCCTGTAGGGTATCTATCGTGTTCACCCGGAGAATATTGCTAACCGGCTAACATAGTCTTTCACAAGACATTGTTTTTTATAGAATATAAGGACTAGCTCAGGTTACTTCTCCAATTCACAGTCTTCCCCAACAGCCGGGCACTCTGATCGATGGCCAGGCAGGCATTCTAGGAAAGGCCTTTCAGACGAAGACATCCTTCAGATTTGAATACTTAATATGCCGAGCCAATATACCCATTGACTACCTGCAAACCGTAACAAGTTTCCCAGCCTAAGCACAAAAAAAATTATCAAATTACCAAGTCAGGATAGTTTATCTGTTTATGTTTTTTGGCGGTTCCATGTTCATTCTTAAGAGTGACAGGAACAATTTATGTATTCATCATCTCAAGCAAGAATTCAAGAAAAACAAAAGCTGAATATACCAGAAAAAAGTGTTTTGTAATATTTTACACTGTCATTCAAGAAAAAAATATTTCACACTGCACTCTTCCAATTAACATTGTTGGTTTTTCTTGCCAAAAGAATGAACCTGGCAATAACCTAACATACAGAAATGTGCATCCCTTGTTCAGGGACTAAATATCTTCTTTTATTCTCCCTGAACAACAAAATAGTGAATAGATTCTCCACTACTTACTGTTCAAACTGAAAATAAAGCAAGTACGAATCCAGAGCCCAATACATACCTGGAAGGCGACAATTTTCCAAGCAGTTTCCCAATTAAGGAAACTAAAATTTTTTCTCTAATGGCGCTTTATTTCATCCAGAACGTTGCCCACACTGGGTGATAATCTTGGAAGGTATTTGTATACCTGCAACATAGAAAAATAAACTAAGTATCTTGATCTTATTCAGATTACAGTGTGAACTTCTAAACTCATATAAACTAATAATACCAGGAACACCGAACAATGTTTTACATCCATAAAAGTTGTAGCTAATAAAACCAAGCAGTCAATGGAAAATTGAATTTTGTTTCCAACAAAAAAGAAAGTTGCAACTTACTCCTCTATAAAAAGGTGACTAAAATGGTAGTACTGGAGTTGCTAAAATGTGTATTGAGAACAGATGAAATGGTGAGGTAGGACCGTATGACAGAAAATTTCTTACAAAATTAAGAGGTTCTTTAAAAAAGCTATGCTACTAAACTTTTTTTTTATCCCTGTTAATTAGACGAAAAAAGGCATACCCAAAACTTTATGTACACATCCAAAGCAACTGGAACCAGACAAACAAAAAATGTGACCGCCGCTTCATCAGATTCAAGCCCGTAATGCTCGAGAACAACTTCTACCATTGTATGCCAACCTGACTCTGAATGGTACCTGCAAAAATGCAGCTAGTGGATTTTATGAAGTGGATAAATTCATTGTTTATAAACTATAGGTAAAAAAACATAGTGCTTAGCTTTGGATGAAAGGGAAAACAATCTAGCACTAGAATCAGTGTGGACGATGATATCTCAAGCACAAGTATAGCACATTAACACTATACTTAATTTGCCCTAGTAGTCATAACCTAAATACTTCCCTGTTTTTGAACTACTTGCACATGTGACATGTCACATTATATGCAAGGAATGTGTATATACTGTGCCAGTCAGGGGCAGAGCTTAGTTGAGACTAAGGTGGGCCATGGCCCCCCTTGTCCAACGCAGTCTCCATTGAGTAAACACTAAATTTTGGTACTGTTTATGAGTGTTTAGAGCTCAATTACATAGACTAGCCCCTCCCGTTTGTTTGGTCAAGCTCCAACTAGCCAGGAGTACTGATGATAAAATGTCATGAATAACGCTTACAAGAGCATGCTGGGTAAATGAATTCAGGCCTCAACTATAGGCATACAAAGATCTTCTATTTAAGAGAATGACAATTCATATAACATACCCTAGAAGGATGTCTGATATTAGAATAATAAGAAAGGCCTTCCCAGTGTCTGAAATGCTATTTAGCAACTTATATCCTGTGAACTTCAGCATCGCAACCTGAATGTGAGGAGGGAGTAAAAGTAAGATGTATGATAACAACATAACTCTATATATTCATTTGGAGAAACAAAAGGCCATGATAATCAATCAGACAAATTTACATTTCCAAGACATTTTTATTACTGAAAGATGTCTGCCAGTTACGCTAACTGGATGACACATCTTTGGTCCAAAGTAGGTGCTATCCTACAAGCCTTTGGTCAACTTTTCAAGATTTTGACCACCAATATAGAGTTAGATTTCTCACATGGAATGATATGTCATTAGCACTACCTTAGAATTGTGGGGTACACCAAGTACAGAAGAAAAATGAGGCCAGTGAAATTGTGGTTAGAACATTTTTTGCAGTTATTTGAAGGTAAAAGTGTAAAGTAACCAGCACTCCTTTGACATTAGTAGGGTCTAATAGCACATGAATCTGTCTAATCATTTAAACTCTATTTAGAATAAGGAGAAAACTATGTGTCCACATGCATAGCAACAGTGCTACATAGATCGTGATATGCAATTGAAAATGAAAATGCAACCGTCTTCTGATAGATACTTACTTTGCTCTGGTTGAAGCAGAGAAGAAGGAATAGAACAATCCCATAAACCATATCGGACCATATATTTGCAAAAGCTTCTCGATTTTCTAGCCTCCAATCATCCCTCAACTCTATCCTGATAAAGAAGAGAAGAAAGTTGTTCATACTGGCAGAGAACAAATAGGGTTCTGATGGATGGTGCATTTATAAAAGTAATGACTTGGCAAGAAAGCATGGTATTCAGGATTTTCTCACGCTTTTTCCCGCAGCTCAAACCAGACCTCCTCATCAGAAAGCGGAGGAGATTTGCCAATCTCTACTTCCATACGGTATCTTGCCTTTTCCATGTTTAGGTCTTTAACCATGTGCAGCTTCTGGCTGCGCCTTACATCAAGTAACTCAGCTGCAAGTGGAACCTTCTCGACATACCTGTTATTATGTAATGTTCCATGTAATACATTCTGCATTTAAGCATACATGGTTGGACGTAACGACAGTGCAAAAGGAGATACTCTTATGACTTATCAGAGCTTGGTACTTCACTGATGAGAAGGGATCATACGGAATGGGTGATATGAGTTACCTGTCTAAGAAGGGCATCATAACATAGTGATGGACTGCAAAATCTACCACCCACGGAACCACAATCAACAATGCTAGAAATTTGGCCTGTACAGTACAATGTCTTTTTGTCAGCTCAAAGTTCAAAAGTTCTTAGTATTAGTAATATGGTGCATGCTTAATAAGTAAGGGCGTACCCAGTGCAGAGAGCTCCCGCTCTGTGCGGGGTCTGGGGAAGGGTGTCAGTGGCATGCTTAATAAGCATACAACATTTTTTTTTCTTTTTATTTCATTCAAATGGATCCTCAAAGAAGAATATTTTGGTTAAAATGAGCCCATCTTTCTTCTATATCATGCCTTAATGGTGTATGTAGGAGAAAAGCTCCTTTATGGTAGTGACGATGAGCAGTACTTGTAACTAGTGGCATGTCATGATTACATTATCGGTCGGCAGTAGTGTATTATGCTAGTACTTGGTAACACCTTTTCAAAAAAAAAAAGGGTACTTGGTAACACAAACAAGGTAGTAGTAAAAAAGAAGGCAACGCACCGAGTTTGTGGAGGCATACATAAACACTCGATCTTCGAAGAGCATGTCCTCATAATCATCATCGACGGTATCTCTGAAAGCCTCGATAACGCCCTTGTCCCACACGATCTCCGCAGGATCATCAGTTATCTCGTCCAACAAGCTGGCCTCCCCGCCCCAGTCCCCACCTCCACCTCCATTCGCCGACGCGCCGCCGGCGCCGCCACCACTGGTCCAATCCTCCCACGACCGCGCCTCGGTGTTCATCGCATCCTGCTGGGCCTCGCGCAGCTCAACAATCGCCTCGGCCTTCCTCCTCCACTCCTCGAACTTTTCGTTCTCCGACAGCTCCTGGTCGGCCCCAATCGCCTCCAGCAGCTCGTCGTCCTCCCTGAACCCGGCCAGGCTCTCCTCGTCCTCGTTCCAGTCAGCAAAGAAGGTCCTCCACCACGGCCGCTGCCACTCGCTGGGCCGCCGCCGCCTCCGCCTCGTCTTAGCGAAGACCGCCGCGTGCCTGCGCCTCGCCCTCCTACTACTCCTGTGGGAACCGAGAGCGAGCACCCCGCGCGCGCAGACGAGGAAGCGCGGCGCAATACCGTTGGAGACGGCCGCGGAACAGCTCATGAAGGTCATGAAACGGGGACCATATGCTCCCTAGCCCCAGCAGTACTTGGAATTGGAACACGAGGGCAGATGCACGAGGAGCAGCTGGAGCGGCCACGGGCTCATGTCATCGGCATTCCGCGCTTGGAAGCAGGGAGAGGCGGAGCCTATGTAGATAATTTTTGCAAACAAAAGCACGCGGTCAGTTCAGTTGGTACGGAGTATCATTCATGCATGTACGTATACGCTTGTAATTGGACGAGATAGCTTGGATTAAGGTTCGACGATGGCGCTCGGTTGGCGGGCATACCTGGCTGGTGGGTGCGACTGCAAAGGGCGGCCGGCAAAAAGACCTGGAGAAAGGCCGGCGGCGGCACACGCCCAGTCGTCGGTGTCCCGGCGACGACGAGAGCTCGCCGGTGACTCGGGATGATTCTGATTCTGGGTAGGAGAGGAGGAAGATGAGATGAGGGAGTTCCCAATTCAGGCAGGCAGCTTGAGCCTTCAGCTACGGCTACGGCTACGGCTAGAGAAGAGAAGTAGAGAGACGAAGTGGTCGGCGTCATATCCACGACGCTGCACAGCAGCCACCCTCATGGACAGGATAGGGCCTACTCAGTAACGGTTTCTTCTGGGGCTTCAGTGGGCCTTTGCCGGATAAAGCTTCGACTAAGCGCCAGGTAGAGATGCGGACATGGCGACGAAAGCTGATCCTGATCCGACGGCTGGCGCGCCAGCTTCTCTCCGCACCACACTCTCCGGTCTCCTCTCCTCTCCCCGCTCGCAACCGCTCTCTCCGGTCTCCTCTCCTCTCCTAACCCTGCGAGGAGGAACCGAGGAGGAGGAGGAGGAGGAGGATACAGGTATGTCTTGACAGCAAACCCATGTTTGCTGTCTCTGTCACCGCATTCCTTCTGTTCTTCGATCTGGACGCCCAGCGGCCTTGTTGGATTCGGAACAACTGCTCGATTTTACTCACACAAATCATAAATTCATCACTAGAGACTTTCAATAAACCATGGCAAAGTTGACAATTTGGAGTATCAAGGCCTGTTTAATTTTGAAATATGAGCTCCTCATTCCCTACTCTTACTCGCATTGCGCAGCATGCTGTTTATGCTCTGCAAGTCTGCATATAGCTGGTCCCAAACTCGGGTAGGAGGAGGGTTGTGATGGCTTGGCGAGCCAAAGATCTGAACTTTGTGTTGTCCAAGCTTTTAGAGTCCATTTCTGTCCTGACTGCCAAAAGTGACTTTACAACAAGCAATAACTGACGGCAGATGCCTTTGCCCACTTCTGTCATTCTCTGTGCATAGAGTGTATCGATACTCGATAGACAAATTTTAGTTTTTTTTATATGTATAAAGACAAAATTCAGTGAAGCATAAACTTTATCGTTGTCGCATTCATACATGGTAACTTTCATGGCAAACTTTGGATGATAAATGATGCTTAAATCTGATATACTAGGTGCAAAGGCATGGTGGGGAATGTGCAAATCAAATCTCTTCAAAGAATACCATAGTCTCCAGATACTATAGGATAGTTAATGTGATGCACTGCCCATCCTACGCCTCTCCACCTTATTTTTCTAAATGGCAGGTTCCACGCTTCCATTTGTAGAAGTTGAAGTTGCAGAATTTTAATGTTCAGATTTCAGAATCATGCATAGTGACAGTAACTTGTACAATTCTAGTTCAGGAAATTTTGCATCTCATTCACTTCGGTTGTATTTGCAGGAAAGGTATTGGTATTAGCACAATTCCAACCAGATTGTCTACCATAATTTTATTGGAAGGACAAAAACTGAACAGTTCACTTTCATCAGATGGCTTTGCCTTCCTCAAGCATGAGAGCTGCATCCTCCACGGTTTACCCTGTCTACCTTAGCCTCTACCACCAACCCAACAGCCACCATGCTTGTTTTCGTCCGAGAGCAAACCATGACAATACCCATAAATGCACCAAGTCACCCAAAATTCTTAGACGGTCTCTCTTCTCCCTACCTGCCTCGTTTCTTCTCCTCCACACATCCTCCTCCCTTGCTGTAGATGACACAAACACACCGTCCACCTTAACAATCGACACCACGATCACAGATCGCATCTTCATGGACTTCAGTGTCTGTCCAAGCTACTTTCGCTCAGACAGAAGTCTAGGAGCTGAGCTTTCCTCATGCCCTGATTCTGAGCCTCTTGGTCGTGTTGTCTTTGGTCTCTATGGTCGGCTTCTCCCCGTTACTACTGCCAATTTCAAAGCTACGTGTACTGCAGCTGCATATAGGGGCACCCTTGTCCACAAGCTCCTTCAAGGACAGTTTTTTGCTGCTGGCCGACAAGGTTCTCGGCATGACAAGGGTGAGGTCGAGCCTCCCTCTGGCCTTGTTAGGAATTCTGAGACTGTTAACCCTAAAGCATTCGAATTAAGGCATGCAAGGCCCGGCACGCTTTCCTTATGCCTTGGACAGAATGATGATGATGATGACATCAAGCTCAACCCTAATTATCACAATGTTGAATTCTTGATTACTACAGGGCCAGGACCCTGTCCTGAGCTTGATGGCCAGAATATTGTCTTTGGGACTGTATTGGAAGGTGAGTTACTTTCTTTTTCAGAGCATTGTTTTCACATCACATTATATTTTGAATCGTCGGTCTTTCAAGAACTTTAGTATTCTTCCCTTGAATATTTTCCAAACACATTACAATGTTGAGGAATCTCGTAGAATGACCAACATATGAGTGAAAGTGTTGGTAAGACAGCAAAGTTTAGGGTCACATCCAAAGGCCGGTTATTTTTGTGGTTCAACAGAACAAAACATAAACAACATGAAAGCTAGTTCATTTTTCATGAATTGGAATTATACTTGATGTCCTTTGTTATTTCTTTAATATCATAGGCTTGCTAAGCTCTGACACATAATGTTGAAGTAAGCTATATGACTACATCAGAGTATAGAAGGTGCAAATTTAATTTGCAGCTTTACATGAGCATGGCGAAGTAGGTTTGTCCTTGTGCCATGCAAATTTCACACTTGTGCAAAACGGAAAACTTAAAAAAAATCTTATATTATTACAATTATCTTATTTCATTCATGGTTACTTTTGTGGTCCAAGCAGAAGAAAACATAACCATTGAAGCTGAGTTCATTTTTCATCAAATAATATTTTGTTGAAACTATATGACTACATCAGTGTATAGAATTTGCAGTTTTATATGCCTCATGCTAGTTGTTGAAATTTTTAGAACAGGGGGTTTCCTTTCTCTCATGAAGAAATCATTGCTCTTGATGATTAGCAATTTATGTGGCGACAAATATTTTTTATGCATGAATAACAAGCTAAAAATATGGATATTGTTGTGCATTCACTGACCTCATTTGGCAAGTGCAAATGACACTTGGTAGAACAAAAAAAAATTCAACCCATATGTGGTGAAAGGTAAAATTCCAAATAGTGCTTTCGTTAAAAACAACCATGGATTCTTGGGTCTTATTTCCGTATTCTGCTGATATTTGGTTGGGAAAATAATGATGTGGATGCACATTAGAAAAACCGATATTTTGATGCCTGTGCAGCTGTACTTCTTTCAAGCGGCAGATTTGTCACACAAGGATAATAGAGTAGGTTCGTCTATATACAGAGAAAAAACTGGGAAAAGCTGGCAGCGACGTGCTATTCATTATTAAACTTGCTAATGGATATGGTTAAAGATATTAATACATCTTGATCCACTACCTTAAAAGATTGTAAATACCTTTTTGGCATACTAATCCTAGTGGAAATTAAGTTCTTGCATGGGTTTTATATGTGTCAGTTTCTCTAGTAAAGTTTAGCTTCAGTACTCGGAAGAAACTGAGTCTGATCGAGGTGCTGTCTTTTCTCATGCTGATAGGTTACACAAGATATTTTACCACAATATATAGAGTCACAATATCTGAATTTGCTTTCTTGAATCTGCAATATTTACGAATTTGTGTACCTCTTGAAATGTATTTAGCTCATTGGCTTTTGTGTTGTGATGCTTTGTGCCATTTGTTATCCAGGAATGGATGTTATCACCAGCATCGCAACCATACCTACCTACAAGCCAGCTGAAAGGATCCGCCTCTTCAATGACTTCGCACAGTTGATTGGCGATGAAAGGGCTCAAACTGCTCGGGCTATGTGGGACCGCCCACTTAAGACCGTTTATATCAGTGACTGCGGGGAGCTGAAAGTGACCAAACAATCTCTTTCCCCTCCAAGCTTGCCATGACTGCCAGTGTCATGACATTACCCACATAGCCAATTTTGTGTCTCTATTGCTCGGGTCCTCTATACTCCATGAGGTGTATATACTTCCTGTATTAACTTATGTATGTTCCATGAGATGTATATATTACTTCTGTTATTAACTTGTATAGATGTAAAATTGCTGACAAATGACTGTATTATCATTCTCCGAGTTCTCAGTTCTTTCTGTATATCAGCTACAGCTCGTAGAACCTTGGAATTGTGATGAGTCATGGCTAACTGTACAATATTTCCATATGGAAGACATTATTGTTGTCGCTGATACCATTTCTGGTTTTAACATTGTTTCTCCTGTATGCATGCTGGAGAATTACGCGTCATTGCATTATAGTAAAGAATACAACCCACAGACAGTAAAAGACTAGGTTGCATTAGAACCACCTAAAGGGGAAAAAATAACATAAGAAACACACAGCCCCAAGATCAAACGTCTAGCTGCCCAGCCCCCCCTGGCACCAGCCACAACCCAAAAATGTGCTGCCTCTCCCATTGGAGCACCCTTTGGATGCTCAGCGACACTCCATCGAAGACACAATCATGCTGATGCTTTCATAGCATCCAAACTGCAAGAACAATCATCCAATTCAACCCACTTTTAGAGTCTTGGCTTGAAATCTTGGAGACCAGCTTGCTAGAACATGCATGTTCAGAGAAAACACAGGCTTGAAATATTGGTGAGAATGAGTTGCATATTCTCCTCTTCTTCATCACATAGAAGGCATCTGCTGTGGATAGTTTGGAGCCTAGGTTTTCCAAATCAACTTCCATGGTTCAAAGGAAACTTTATCCAATGAAGAATCTCTCATGTGCCCATCAATATTCATCATGAGTTCATGACATTCTGGTTGGAGGATCACCTCAGATAGAAAATCTCAAATATCTACGTATTCAAACTTGTATATCCTGAATCAAAACAAATCTGCCATGGATCAAGAAAATAAAAATGTACTCTGACAAGTGACACATATTGATCCTGAATAAGCATGAAAGTTTAAATGGCAAAAGTAGGCATGAAATTATGGTGCTGGACACTAACTGATGGCAAAAAAAAAGGACTGCTGCAATGTAATGGTTGGGCCTTCTTCTCTTATATAAGAATAAAATATAAATACCAGAGCACGAAAGAACCAAAATTTCTTGAATAACACTGTAGACCATAGGGAATGTAACATCTACTCCCTGTAGGCAATGAAATTTGCAATGTCAAGAAGCCCAGCTTCTCTGTAACACTCAGCAATCCGATCCACAACCTCATCCCAGTTACCATCCACAGATGCTAAATCCATTAAAAATGCTGCCTCGTCAAGAACCACCTGCAGCGCACCAGAGCAGCAAAGGCAATGGAGTTAACCAAGAAATTATTGAATGTTATTATGTGACAAATTAAAGAGACTCTCGTCAACCACCTGTTCTGGAGCCTTTCCTTTCTTCAGGTCCTCACGCTTGCCCTCCTCAGTTACCTTCTCTCTTATAAACTCGAGCTGCTCATCCTCCCACCCAGCTAGTTCAGCAGCCTCCTGTTTCATGAAAAGGTGTATAAGTCTTTGGTTTCAACTTTCAAGAAGAGAGACTAAAAGAAAATAGGGAAATATCTGTTGGCTGCTAGGCATACAAGCAGAACATGAAAAGGCCGCACAAATCATACTTCGTAACTGCAGCCAAGTGTCCACCATGGTGATTTCAGAGCCACTCGAGCTGAATCTTTGGCTTCAGATGTACGTCCAACTCTAACAACAACAAAACAACAAGAAAATAAAGAACACAGATGAACATTAAATTCTGTTCCGGCCTTTGTGCATGGAAAATACGTCCAGTTAAATCATATGACGTTGAAGTGGCCACGGACAAGTGTATTGCCATCTTTTGAGGCCAGACAGTACAGAATTGTTTAGGTATATAAATTCTGCATGTGACAATATTGTGTTTGCCTCACATTTTGCAATTAAATCAGGAAATCATACCTCATGTTCATGCAACATGTAATGTAACCATGTAATCATATATGTTCGACACGAAATGCAAACATCCACCTAATAGGTTCCCCTGATCTTGCATTGCACAATTTGTAATTACACTGATCATGTCACAACAATACCTTTTTAAAATCTCTGCATTGAACACAAAGGGTCTTCCAAATCCAGGAAATTGATCTCTACTATAGAATTCTCCAGTAATGAGAGCCGAGACCTGAAGAGAAAAAAAAACAGTGCATACTAAAAATCATTATGTAAACAAGATCAATGCATCTCTGGAAAGATCTAAGAGTTTGACATTATCTCCTTTTTCAAGATGGCGCAATGTTTTCCTCTCTATAACATCAGGGAAAAGTCCAACCTACAAAAAAGCATCAGTACACAAGCTGCCTTGTAACTCAGTAATTAGGAACTGACATGTATCTCTCAACCTTCTTCAACAAATAGACATCAAGGTCTGGCAGCTGCGACTCTTTGAAGTCACCTTTAGCATAAAGGTTACCAGCTTCACCCACGGCAGCCCATAAATCATCGCCAGTATCAGCATTGATGTCAGCCTCAACAAGTATTCGGTGGATATACTGTTTCACCTGATAAACATGAGTAAAATTATGAAGATCGCATGTGATTTTCACTTACTCTAAGACAAGAAAGTTATAATAAGATACAACACAAACTTACATTCTTAGCCAAAAGCCACAACCCATGTTTACGAACTTCCACAACAGGCATTTCCATCCTGAAGGACAAGTAAATACATATGGATATTTGGATAGATGCCTTTTGAAACATACCATGGATATAGAAATAGCAGCATATTTAGTGTACCCAGTTGGAGCGGTTGGCCATCTAAGGAGGGATGTCAAATTACCTGCATTTTGACTGATAATGTCAGGTAGAACCAGAGACTTATCAAACCTAGATCATAGATGCTTCTAATTAAAAGAATCATCCGATCTCTAACATATAAATACCTGCTGGACTTTCTGACAAGGGAACAACACATGGAATCAACCCTCTTTTTGCTCCAGGAGAAACAATCTTTTCACCTGCCAAATGTAGTTTTCTAGATGAAGGAATAGTTTTTGTTCTGGCCTCTGCATGAGGCATGCACCGGACATTTATTGCAAACTTCAGCTATAAGATGACAATGAAAACAGAAGGTAGCAAATAGCAACAGAGTTCATACATCCAAAACAATTTGAAATAAAATCAAAGCCTATTGGTAAACATCCACCAGTGCTTGGCGAAGGTCTCCATGACTGTAATCAAATGTATTTGTGAGATCAAGGTCGGGTCCTAAGTCCCAACAGCTAGATTTAAACAGCATGGTTTCTATTTGAAATTAGTAAACAGGCAGAGGCACGATCAGAGGCAAAAATTGAATTGTAACCACTACCAAGATAAAAAATAACTAATCAGATAGGATTTCTGCTGAAGCCCAACACTAACAAATGCTTGGAAGTTGGAACTGTCAATTTACCACTGTGCCAGAGAGAGAGAGAGAACAGTAAAAGGCCCCCAATTCAGGTATGCACGAGTGGAAGTGCCGAAGTGGACAATAGGGAAGCAACCAGAAACGAAATCCTTGTGCGATATTTGAAGCCATACCTCGTGCTTGAAGCACATTCAGGAGAGAGTTGAGATGCTCCGGAGGATCGGTTGCGGCGATTTCCTTGACAAACGATGCATGATCTGGAATTAATTTGGGAAATTGTAAGAAACACGGTTGCCATAAAAGGGGAACAGGATTTATTTATGTACACTACAATGGCGTGATTCTAGTTTATTAATTATACAATAGATGGATCATACAGACAAAGGGCATAACAAGAGCACACAAGAGTACAAGACTCACAGGAAAATAAACCGATGAGGAAAACGCCACTGGCACATGACATGTCCGGAGACGACGACACCGGCTTGCTTGACCTCGATTAGCCGTCAATGGCCAATGCAAGTGCTACTTACTTACTAGTAATAAGCAGGAACAGGGTACGCACAGCACGAGCAAACGGAGTGCTATGTCGTGTTAAACTGCTAACAACTTGAATTGGATTCCTACAGGCTGACTAAATATGAGGCGGAGGCGACAGGCGAGCCTTCCGATCCACAAGAACCATGAAGAGAAGAATCGTGTATGGTTGTCCTCACCGTAGGCAGTGACGGCAGCGGTGGCTGCGGAGGCAGGAGAGGAGGAGGCGCAGCGGGCGGCGACTAGAGAGGCCCCGAGCGCGCGGCCCCATCAGCACGGACGCGAAGGCGGCCCTGCTCACCGGCGGCCTCATCCTATCCGCGCGGGCGCGGCGTCTCGATCCGGTGGTGGTGGTGCCAGCGGCGCGTGGACGCGGCGACCTCACCTGAGCCAGCCGTTGCCAGTGGACTCCGCAGCGTTACCACCACGCTGTGTTCTTCTGGGCCGCAGTGGGGCATTGAGGCCCAGGTAGATCCGGACACGGGCGGAGCCCGCTGATCCGACGGCTGGAATTTGAGCACCAATCCACGCACGCTGCTGCAGGAACAGGAAAGAAGGCTCCGCGGCTGGCGCGCGAGCTTCTCTCCCCACCACATTTTCTCTCGTCCTCTCTTTTCTTCTCCGCTCCCTCGATGCACCTCAATCCGTCTCCCCTGCCTGCCTGCCTGCCTTCCTCTCTCTCTCTCTCTGTTTCTCTCCTCTCCTCTCCTTTCTCTCTCTCTCTCATCGACGGACTTCGTGCGAGGAACCGAGGAGGAAGAGGAGGAGGAACACAGAGGGCCATCCAGGTATGTATTTGTCGTTCTCGCTGTGAATTGCTGCCATCTATGTCACCGCATTCCTTCTGTTCCTCGATTTGGAACAAATGCTCGGTTTTAATTAATTACTCAACAGCCTCATCCATGGCTGCTGAATCCTGAATTCCTGATACGTATCTGTTTGATGCATTGGTCGTCAGACACTTCCTCTGCATCATACACCTATGCTGCGGGATGGAGGAAGCTAACGTCCACGGGACCAGCGGCCAGCCCTCCACCGCTCCTGATGCGTCTCCGGAATCGGCTGTTCCATCCAGTTCTGACCAAGGCTCTCAATCCTGTCAGGCCCAGCGCCAGCGACAGGTCCACCAGCTGGATGAAACGCAGGAGCCAGACAGCAGCTACAAAGCGTCAGAGATCGCCAGCCGCTTCAACGATGCCGTCGATCCCAAGGCCAGCATCGACACCGCGGCGCCCATCGATTCCGTCAAGGGCGCCGTCAGCAAATTCGGAGTCGGAGGGGTTGATTGGAAAGAGGTATTGTGCAGACCTGCGTACCTCCTGCAATCTGAATCACATCCTCTGTTCAGATCAGACGCTAGTTTCTTAGCATTCCTTCTTCTTCTTCTTTCTTCTACGCAGAAACGCAAGCAAGTCCAGGATGAGCTCGACCAGGTGCAGGAAGAGGTCACGGAGTACCAGAAGAGAGCACAGGAGGCGGAGGCCGGCAGAGCGCAAGCTCTGCGGGAGCTGGGAACCGCCGTGAACGCTGCCGACGAGCTGAGGCTGGGCCTGGAGATGGCGCGGGCTGAGCAGACCCAGGCGCGGGAGCAGGCGGAGCTCGCCGAGCTGCGCCTCGAGGAGGTGCGGCGCGGCGCCGCGACGAAGGCGAAGGCGGAGCTCGACGCCGTCAGGGAACGCCGCGCGGCCGTGCTCGCGGACCTGCGGGCTTCGCGAACGGAGGCCGAGTCACTGGAGAAGGTGCGCGCGCGCGCCGCGGCCGAGGCGGGCGCGGCTGTGGCGCGGGCGCGGGAGGCCGCCGCAGCGTCGCGGGAGGCTGGGAAGGCCGTCGAGGACCTCGCCGCCGAGCTCGTCGCGCTGAAAGGGGAGCTGGAGTCCTCGCGCGCCGCTCATGTCGAGGCGGAGGAGAAGAGGATGGGCCTGGCGGTCGCGTGGGAGGAAGACAAGTCGCGGTGGCAGATCGAGCTGGAGGAAGCCGAGCTGGAGTCCAAGAGGCTGCGAGAGGAGCTCGTGGCGGCCTGCGACGTCGAGATGAAGGCGGAGGCCGCTTCCCAACTGTTGGCGAGCCTAAAAGCCGAGCTCTTCGCTTGGGCCGCGGATGGAACACTGGACCAGGAGGAGAAGCCGGCGACGATCAGCACCCAGTCGGTGCTGGAGAAGACCAAGAAGGAGCTCGACGACGTGAAGGCGAGCGTCGAGAGGGCCAAGGACGAGGCCAAGTGCCTGCGCGTCGCCGCTGCCTCGATGCGCGATGAGCTGGAGAAGGAGAAAGTGGAGCTCACCGCGCTGCGGCGGAGGGAAAGGGAAAGGGAAGGGCTCTCGCCAGCGTCCATCCCTTACCTCGAGGAGGAGCTGAGGTGGTTGACCGCGGAGCTCGCCGCGGCGGAGGCACGAGCGAAGGCGGACGACGACGAGAGCAAGATGGCTGAGCGGGTAGGCGAGGCACGGCGCGAAGCGGAGGAAGCGAGGGCGAAGGCCCGGTCGGCTCGAGAGGAGGTCGCCAGGGCCAGGGAAGACGCGGGCGTGGCTAAGGCCGCCGTCGCCGCCATGGAGGCGCGGCTGGAGGCGGTGACGCGGGAGATACTCGCCGCGAACACGTCGGAGGAAATGGCCACGGCCTCGGCCGGCGCCCTGCTGCAAGAAAGCAAGCCGTCCACAAATGCACAGAGCAATAAGGCCGTGGAAGGGGACGAGAGCGTGACGCTGATGATGGAGGAGTACGACGAGCTGAGCCGGAGAGCGCAGGAGACAGAGGAGGCCGCCGGCATGCGGGTGGTCGAGGCGGTGAAACTGATCAAGGAGGCCAAGGACGCGGAGGTGAGGAGGCTGGAGAAGGTCGCGCGGCTGGACAAGCGGACCGAGCTGAGGCGGCAGGCGCTGGAGGCCGCGACGCTGGAGGCCGAGGAGGCGGAGTTCGAGAAGCTGTCGGCGGAGCGGGAGCTCAGGCAGTGGCGCGCCGAGCACGAGCAGCGGCGCGCGCCCGGTGACACCGGCTCACCCCGGCCGGGCCTCGCCGAGATCTCCGTGCTCGACGCCCCGGGCGCCGACGAGGGGCGCGGGAACCCGCACATAGTCAGCCCGAGAGGAGGGTACATGCCGCGGACGGAGCTGTGGTCGGCGGCGGACGCGGATGCGGACGCGAGGCAGAGGAAAACCTTCTTCCCGCGGATTGTCATGTTCTTGGCGCGAAAGAGAGCTCAGACTTGGAAGTGATCAACAACCGGCTTCTTTTCGAAATTTTGGCTTATGTCTTTTGGGACTTGCTTTTTGTACATGGCTTGCTCGGAACAGATGAAATATGATGATACGAGTGTAAAATGTGTACTGATCACACAGGCAGATCATAACTTCTTTTTTTTTACCGGAGTTGTGATCTTTGCTCGGAAATATTGACTGGCTCGATAACCCTTTTCACTCTGTCGAATTTATCCTGCGTTTACACCTGCTCACCTCTAGGTCTCTAACAAAATGTAAATGTTTCTAATTGGGAATGGGAATGTTCTTGAAACGAAGAATATAGCCATATATCCACAGGACTATCTGTTAATTTGGCAAAGAACTAGAGAATAGCAGTTTCATCATCATGAGAAAGCTTGGGCTCAATATCCAAAGCTACAAAACCATGTGCATGCTTGAGACCTAGTATTGTTATAAGTACGAAGCATGCAACTCTTAATCAGAAATGCTATACAATACATAAGTATTTTAGCAAAAAAAACACATAGATTTTTTTTATCTATGATGTCTAGGGCCCACATGTCATAATCAATGCATGGAGGCACCACGCCTAAGTACTCGGCATGCAACTCTTAATCGTCCTCCCAAATGTTATACATGAGGCACACATGTGTTTTAGCATAAAAACACGCGATGGGGTGACCCGCCGTATCTATGGAACGCTATGGGCGCCCACATATGGCCATATATGACGCCTAGGGCCCACCATGCCATGGCAGTGGCGGTGGCGGCGGCGGATCCGGCTCCAGGTAGGCCTCTCCTCCTCCTCTGCGATATGTGATTTGTGTTTCCATAGAAAAAATTGTTTCTTGTGATCTGTGGATCTGTGATCTTATGATTTGTGATTGTCTGGAGGTAGAAGAAGGCTGAAGGCTTGGAGGTAGAAGAAGGATGGAGGTTGCTGGATCTTAATCCTATGGTGCAAAAAAATCATGTGTTGAAACTGTATAAAATACATGGTTGTGTGGTAGACAGACTTGTAAGAAACAGCATCAAAATAGTATTACACATTGCATGGTTGTGTCGTACTTATATCATGTTCTTTGGATTTCTGAATCTTGTGATTTGTGATTGTCTTTTTTTTAGAAGAAAAGCCGTTTTTTCTCTCTCACAATAAATTAGGGTAAAGGTTGTTTCGATCTTGTTTTATGGTGCAAAAATAGCCTATATGTTGTAGTACTCAAAAAACACATGATTATATAAGAAAGCCCAAATACATTTGCTAGCCATCCATTCTATCATAGAAGTACAACTTATATGTCAATGATGCAAAGATTAAGTCAAACAACCTACAACATGCTACACACTCGAAAAGTGTGACATGATGCAGTAAGAAAGCCCAAATACATTTGCTATCCATCCATTCTATCATAGAAGTACAACTTATATGTCAATAATGCAAAGATTAAGTCAAACAACCTACAACATGCTACATCGCACATATGACATATACACACTATACAAACTTGTTTGGTTATCCTTTCCTGGTGGACACACTCTCTTTCCCCTGCTTTCCTCCCATTTAACGAATTGGGAGTTTTGCTAAAGACACGTGGTGTTGTTCGTCTGATGGTTTGTGCGGCTGATAAGTCGGCTAAAACTAATTTGGTGTGAGAGAAAAACATTGTTCCATAGCTCATAAGCCAGGCTGATAAATTCAAGCAAACATGATATAAGAAATAACTATAACTATATATGCGTAAGTTCATGAAAAAACTATAGAGGCACGAATCAAAGCCGGACGCACCAAATTATAGATGACTTTATTAGTCTTCCTAGTAATCTTAGGCCAACCTCAATAGGAGTTTTATAAGCATTAAATAAGCTGGTGTGGCATAGTTTAAATGAGGAGAGAGATGAAAATAGTTTTATGGGATGAAATGAGTTTCATGGGGAATTGAGGATGAAACTTATTTACACTATTTTCAACATCAGGGAGTTTTGAGAATAGAACTATAAAACTTCCAATGAGAGTGGCCTTATTAATCTTTAGATGGCTTAAATAATCCTTCTCCTTTAAAGCTTCCAAAATCAATGGCATCGTATAAAGACCGAATGGTCAAGAAGAGGTATTGGATCAGGCTCTAGAAATTTTGAAACAATAATATTGGTGTATATGATTTTCTACTAACCCCCAATAGGATGGTGGCACCTAAGACTACACAAAGCACACCAGTGAGTTTTTTTTTTGAACTGTACTAGTGAGTCTTTACTCTGTAGGGCAATCAAGAAGTCATCGTATTGAATCTACCGACCTTTACCCCAAAGCACTAGACACATCACAAGATCCAACATCCTTGACCTAAAAAGAAACACATATGAAACGATGAAATAATATAGATGATTGAATCGTTTGGTACAACACAACCTATAGATTCAACACCTCCAACACTTGATATATAAAGTTGGACACCTAATTTCCTCTCCACGGTCATTGACGGAGGGCAACACCCCGAAGTTGACATCCTAAGGGAAAGTGTCCATGAACACATTTGCCCTTGCAGATAACGACAATAAACATTATTATGACTATCGTTCAAGTCACCGCAGGTAAACAAATGGCATCGAAGATCAGTGATAATTTTTTGGTAGGTTTATTTAAGCTAAACTTAAACAGTTTAAACCCAAAGAATTTAAGCATGAGATGGAGCCTTCTCATCCCTGCCACCGAAATTATTAAGAAAAAAATCTTGTCACCGAACACGCCGTCAGAGACAGAGGAGGCCCCTCTAATCCTCTCTGACCGTTGACTAGATGACCACACGTTACAAGATTATATAATCCGAGAGTACAAGGACCAAAGCATAAAAATGCCGTCGTTCGGTCCCACGCGAAGACGAGGACCTCGTCTCGTGCTGGCACCGCACGGCAGTTGCCCCAACCCCGCCGAGTCAAACGTCCCCAGCCTCCTAAAATTTCCCCTTTCCCCAACTAACACGGCACCCCCTTCCGGCAATCCGGCCTTCTTCCTCTTTCCTCCGATTGCCCCCAAATCCGACGCGTCATCGCCGCCATGGCCGCCGCGGGCAAGCTCCTCCTCCTGGCCGCCGCCGCCGTCCTGGCGGCGTCCCTCGTCGCCGACGCGCGCCCGTGCGGCCACGCGCAGACGCTCCTCGTCTCCTTCTCCTCCGTCTCCAGGCCCAATCCGGACCCCACCAACCCCACGCCGCTCACCACCACCGTCGTCACCGTCCTCCGCGTCCGCCGCCTCGGCCCGCACCAGATCCGCCGCCCCGTGGCCCTCCCCTCCGCCGAGCCGGAGGTCGCCGCCTCGTCCGTCCAGGACCGCGCCAAGGACATCCTCGTCGTCGTCTCCGGCCTCCTCTTTGGCTTCGGCTGCGGCGCCCTCACCGCCGCGTCCATGTACCTCGTCTGGTCGCTCCTCGCCTCCACCTGCGCCTCCGGCTACGACGACGACGTCTACAGCGACGACGAGGACCAGCTGTCCGACTCCGAGAGCCCCAAGAAGGCCGGCTACGTCATCATCCACGACGCCGACGAGTACGGCGCTGGTAAGAATTAGGGCTGGGGATCCGTCTTTGGTCTTACCGGGGGCAGCCAAAGGATTCGTAATAACAAATTGCATGATTGCTTGGAATTGTGCAGTATACACTGTAACTGTATGCACCTTTTTATGTGTGTCGCGTCTGATTCTCTCTATGTATTTCCTTTGGGGAAAGGAAAATTAAGTTACGAATGAATACGCTCTCGATGTGTTCTTATTATCGTCAAACTGAAATGATGCTTGCCTTGTTACTGCAAAACATGGATCTTGTGGACTGCCGTAGTTTACAAAATTATGGTGCAGTGTTCTTCCCACAAATCGAGGTGCAAGTGCAAGCCTGTGCAACAGTAGAAATGTGTAGAATTTCTCCCGTGGAGTTATATCTGGTAGTCAGGGGGTGTTTGGTCCTAAAATTCTCGTGACATCGAATGTGTAGGCACATGTATGGAGTATTAAATATAGATTAATTATAAAATTAATTACACAACTTGCGACTAATCTGGGAGACGAATCTTTTAAACCTAATTAGTCTATGATTTGACAATGTGGTGCTACAGTAAACATGTGTTAATGACAGATTAATTAGGCTTAAAAAAATCGCCCTTTATCTATGCAATTGATTTTGTAATTAGTCTATATTTAATGCTCTTTATTAGTATCTAAACATTCGACATGACATGAATTTTAGGAGTGACTAAAGAACCAAACACCCCTTACCCCTTAGTCGCTCCTAAAATTCATGTCATATCGAATATTTAGATACTAATAAAGAGCATTAAATATAGATTAATTACAAAACCAATTATATAGGTGAGGCTAATTTGCGAGACGATTTTTAAGCCTAATTAATCTGTTATTAGCACATGTTTACTGGAGCACCACGTTGTTAAATCATGGACTAATTAAGCTTAAAAGATTCGTCTCGTAAATTAGTCGCAAGTTGTGTAATTAGTTTCGTAATTAGTCTATATTTAATACTCCATACATGTGTCTCAATATTCAATTCCATACATGTGTCTAAATATTCGATATGACAGGAATTTTAGTAGCGCATGTAGAAACCAAACAGGGCCTCAGTCTGGTGTGGATTACATTGCTCTAAATCAATCCAATTGTTTCCACACAGTGACATACTAATGTCTCAATCATTCCTATTGGAACTTGAATGAATGTGACCATGCAACCTCTGCAGTTTTCTTCTGAGCATTTTCGCTTTACCTTTCTTTTTAATGGTCATGAAACATGTAAAATTGTTGTTTGTTGACTACACAGATTTTTTGGGGTATTTTACCAGTGATGCATAAATGTATGGTTCTCTGGTGTGGTTGTGGGCCACTAAATATTTACCCTGAACTTTTCTCGAGATGATGGGAGTTATTTGTTTGGTAGCCTATCTATTTTTTGGGCTTAGAGATACGATGTAGAATGGTCTGTGTAGCAAGATACTAATGTTTGTAGCATTTCTTGTTGAAATTTGTTCATGAATGTGACTGCTACTTTGTCTGCAATATCTCTGAGGTGCAAGTGCCTCTACCTTATCTGATCTGAATTAACTAGTTTCCTATTTTCAATTTTGTGGTTTTCCCTATCTTCTCTGACTTGAAACAAATTCTTATGGAGCAAATTGTATGTCACATTTTGTTTTTCGAACGAAGCATCTAGTAAATTACTAGTCCACTTTGTGGGTGTATGTTAGTTCATCTGGTACTCAAATGACCTTCCTGTGTGTATTTTTGCTGCTTATTTTTGTACTTGTTATTGATCTAGCATGTAAAGATTATTGCCAATCTCTTAATATGAATCCTGCACCCAAACCGCGGGCACCCGCTAGGGCCACGGCACCCGTTAACTGGCAAACCGTTGGATCCGGCGGAAACACGATATGGACCGTTGGATCGGGCTCGTCGCGGGTCTCCAACCCATTAAATCACGAACCCGGAAGGTCGCGACTATTCGCGAACCCGCTCGGGGGCGACCTGTCCGTCCCCGGCCCGGCTCCCTCCTCCCCGCCGCTCCATCGCCCCCCGCCCTCCTCCTTCTCCCCCGCAGCACTAAGGCACGGGTTGAGCACGCAGGCCGCGCTGCGTCTCCTCCTCCCGCCGCTCCATCGCCTCTCCACCACCTCCTCCCTTCTCCCGCGCAGCCTTTGAGGCACGGGTTGAGCGAGCAACGCCGGCAAAGACTTGAGCGCGGCAAATCGAGGGGCACGCAGGCGGACGAGAATGGAGCGTGGGGCGGCGGCGCGCCAGTCTTGCGGCTAAGTGGCGGCGTGAGACACGGCGACCTCGCCCACCGGCCTCCACCCTCCGCGTGCTTTCTGCTTTGTACGCAGCTCTCGGCCAAGAAGACACACCACCTGCTGTTAGCCCCAAATGAGAACAGGTATGTGGCAACCATGGTAGCGGCGCTTGCCGACCGGCACCAATCGTTCCCGCTTAGCTTCGGTCCCCGGACTCGCTCCGTCGGTGCCGCCTTTGTGGTGCTGCTATCTTCACCTCAGAGTTCTCGCTTCGTCTCCTTGGAGAGTCCTGCAATAATCTATTTTCCAAAACATTTTATAGTTCCTTGATCTGCATTTCCATTAACAGTTAAGTACACAGCTTAGGTATTTAGTTATATCAGTTAGATAGTTCAGTTTGTTGTACAAATGGCTAGAAACCAGGTGCAGATTAGTTTCCATATGCAAAATAAAAAAAAATCATTTTCTTATTATTGTGGTACTAATGCCCTTTGTGCTTTACATGTCATCATGTGTTAAAAAAGCATTGCTTGTTACTATACTATTCATATATTCATATTCAGTCAAGTTCTTAGGACCCTACTATTCAAACTGAAATGTCAGAGCATCAGGCAATTCGTTATGCACCTGCTTGCTGTATATTAAACAAATCAGTTCTTTGTATGTATAATTACCTCCTAACCTGCTGTATCTCATTTATATTTTTTTTTAAAAAAATTTGATTGCATTTCAATCATATTATACTTCATTACCATTTTTTTGTTATTTTTAATCTACATACTGGGTTGTTCGTTTCTAGAACTAGGCCAATTTTTTTTTTCTTGAACGTGCCATGTAGCACGATATTTATCTCAAGAAGGTGTCGCAGTACTATCCAAAATGAACAAACCTGTGTATGGGTAAAATATAGTGCTCAAAACACTTGTACTGTGCTCTTCTATTCAAACTCTTTATCCGAGATGGGCATTACTTCTATCCAATTTTTGAGTGAATATGGCAGGAGTTCTGTCGTTTTATTAAGTTGAAAGCAAAGGTAGATATTTACAATGAATTGAGAGTTATTGACTTCCTACACTACCCTGCTAAAAACGACGACAAAAGTAAATCACAAAATTTCCATTGACTTTCATGATTTCACCTACATTTGTTTCTGTATATAATAGAATTTGTAGGTGCCTCCAAGAAGCCAATGAAGGTACATATACTAGAAGCCTGGAATGTTCTTTTTCTATCTTCCTAATTTCTCATTCAGATTGAAGCTTTGGCTTAGTGGTAGTCTAAATTTCGACTATAGTACACCAAAATGTCATATAGTAGTGCCGGGAAAATCATAAGTAATCCCAAAATGAGTATGGCAATTCCACCATTGTACAAAGTGTCATTTTAACCCTTGATTGTCAAGTGGGTAATTCTAGAAAAACAAAGGAATTGCTTTGGAAAATCTAATCCTTCATCTTGCTCTGTTTAGCTACTTTGGTAATTATAATATATAACCTTTATGCAGTGTGCTATTTACGCACCATCGTGCAATTTATTGTTAAATCCATGATTTTTATGATAAAAAATTATTTTATTTTGTATTTATTTGGAGCTCAATTTCCATTTGAGATCTGTTGTTTATTATTATTGACAATGAAGAGCAAAGGCGAACTATCAGCACGGGATGTAGCACCAAAGGCACAACATAGCTTAGCAGTGATGACCTCTCAACCTTTTGTTTTAAGTTATCATGATGGACTCCAATAACTGGACGATCTAATAGGGCGCGGCAAAGCCGCGCCTGGGTTTCTAGTGATGTGTAAACCTGGACAGTCTGCTGTTGCTCAGCAATTGCTCTGAATCGTCGCCGGGCTTGAGCAGTGAAAGGTAGTATCAACATTCAGAGATTGTTGTGTATTCATCACTTCTGATAGCATAGCTGTGTGTTTGTGTTTTTGGTATGATCGGAGCTTATCATCCTTGCGCTTAATGTTTCTGCTTATTTGGTGTTGTACTGCACATGGCAATGGGTTAAGAACTATACCCTTCGCATACAGAATTCTCAGAAAATATCTGACTCTGCTTCTGTGGAATGTGTCATAATGTTTTACTATCTTCAAAAAATTACCGATTTACCATTGCTACACCCACCGTTTTCGGTGTTTGTGTGATTCTCGTGAACGCATTCTTCTAAACAAATAGATTAGCGACCTTAGCTATCTTTTATTACGCATTGAAAATCACACAGGTAGTTATTTGAAATTTGCGAAAAATTCTACCTGTAATAACTGAAACACTTCCTCTGTTTTTTTTTTCTTTTTGTGACATCTTTGTGCATTTTTTTATGAAAAAAAGAGAAATGCCCAACGGGAAATATAGCTTTTGAACTGGACCGTTTCCATACGTGATTACAACCTGGGCCTGGAGTCAGTTATGGGCCGCAGCCCATGCACAGCTCAGGTGCGCGGTCCATCTGCCTTGCGCTTCTCCTTGCTCAGCTTCCTCGGCCAGTCTGCCGCGCACGGCGCATCTGTTCCTTCTGCTCTGCGACTGCGAGCATCCGTGCTCGTATCGTAGTCTGTTCGTCGCCGCTGCTGCCGTCTGGTGCTTGCCGCCGCTCTTATCTTTTCCGGCACCGCGTCAAAGGGCCGTTCCTCTTTAGGCGCCTGGTAGATCTCCCCAAATCAACCGGGCAAGCCTTACCGCCCACTTCACCATGGCGGAGCCCTCGCCGCCGCCGGCGTCGAACGCTGGCCTCCGTATCCTCCTGTCGAAGGACCGGCCGGCTCCCTCCCCTCCA